ATTCTAACTTGAAACCCCCTATTACATCTTTGTAGGTGGCACTGGCAGTCACAATATCTGGACAATATACAAGGAGTAAGGCTTCTTTCATTTCATCAGTGTTCCCAGAGTAGATGTGTTCTGTTAATCGGCAGGCATTGTCGTAAAACACAACCTCTGGGAGGCCTCGTGGAAACGTTTCTTCAAGAAAGTCCTTTGTGAAGATGTCAAATGCGAAACCCCAATGTAAGCAAACCGTTGACTGCTGGTATCTACAAATGCAAACTCACTTTTACTGCGCTGACTGATTCAGCATTATAAAATGTCTTCCTAGCTAAAATAATCCCACAAGGCCCGACTATCAATTGCTTGTTGTGTGTTCAACATCTAGTCATCAGGTATTTCCCGGCAACTTTGGATTGGCCCCCATCGCGAGCACCCTCGTGCGCTCTTTGGTTGAGAAATCTGAGGCATCATCGGATGCAAAGCCTTGGATAGACCTCGTCTGAGGTTTCCATCCAAGGTATTCTTTTGCACTGAGAATTACCTCGGATTGAAAAATCTGAGGTAAATATGTTGGTGGTGCATCAAGCAGTGGCATGTGAATCTTGGTTGGATCTGAGTATGTAGATTTTGTATAAATGGTTTGAAGTTTTAGGATAAGTGTGATGTAATGCAGTGTGGGTAATGGTGAAAGTGGTGAAACATTGTGTGGCTTGATGTACTGTGGTGGAACATTGATTAAACTGTCTTAAGTGGTAGCTACACCTAGCCCTAACCCAAAACCAACCATTTTAGTCTTAGACAGGGTCAACCACCTGAGTTTTTCTGGCAAATTGGCCTTAAACCAGCCAAACATACATTTTTCATCAGAAACATCTTGGCAGAACGGAAAATTAAAATGTTTTTTATCAGAAGCCTCAATAGGAGCTTTCCTGGGTCCTTTGATAAGTCAAAAGTAGAAATTTTGCAGAAATTATTGACTCAAAAAGCATTGACATCCTAATAGCTGTCAACAAGAGGTTCACAGACAGTATAAAAAGATGATGCAAAGGGGGGGAATGGTTCATACACACCCACACAAACCTGCACTCTGACAGGATGGCTCTCTGCAGGCTTCACATGTCATGTCCTAAGTAGAGGTTGCAGAGACCCCCCCTTAATCAGGGAGTCTTTTGTCAGCCCTGAGTATATACACATGTACCCAAAGACTAACCTATGATGTATAACCATCACCTAGAAATATAATTACATGTACATACAGCCTATAATATATATGTAACATGTAAGAGAACATATATGAACTCTAGTTACATATGCATATACACAAGAAATAACATGTAACATATAAAATTACATACAAAAACACTAGTAACATCTCATAACTCAGTATCAAGAGTTAAAACATGCTTATCTTATATGAAACACTCAATGATTACATAACATAACATTAAGTGTACATAATTATAAAAACATTAAAATATTAAATACAAACCTAATATTGTAAACATTTGTGTATATCACAATACTAGGTTTAAAAGCTGGAACATATAAACCAGAACCTGCTGCATTCCCAAAAGAGGAACCAAGTTTATACACACCACTTTCTAAAGAACCATCAAGAGTTCAATTAGAATAACAATCAAGAGGATTACAAATAGTAATACTAGTGATTCATTCTATTTATCTTGATCTTTCCTGACTAGATCCTAGTAAGTTATACACTTCACTTCTGGATCCTCTACTTCCCCTAAGTAGCTTCTATACTAGGTTGGTGACCTCCAAGTTAATAACCAATAGGTTGGTGACCTTCAAGATAATAACCAAACAGGTTGGTGACCTCTAAGAGATAACCAAGATAGTGATCTTTATAATCACTCTTTATCCTGTTACTGAAAGGATACTGGAGAACTTTGGGATCCAGTTCTCATTGTTATAGTGATTTATAAATTAAAACCTCTTCTTTAAGAGTCAACTAACTGTAGTCTGCCAGGATTTGTCCCAGAAGACTCTTAGTTGTTAACCTCCCATCCTATCTTACCCTCATCATCCTCTCCTTCCTTGTACCTAGTTTAACAATTTAAATATAATAATACTTATTATACTTCATCTTAAACTACTCCCTGTACCATCATTTAGTGAGTGTAGCCTCCTTCAAAAGAGTTACTACCCTCACATCTTTGGCCTCACAGCCTCCCCAAAACATGTGTTACCTATCTCATACTGAGGTAGGCAACACAGGAAGACTGTATGGTTGAGTTTAAGTTCTGTATGTGTAAATGAGCAAAGGAAATTACCTGAGCCACAGGCACAAATCATTATGACCAATGATTACACATCTCTACAAGTGTATATAACACAGACTAATGAAGCCACAGGTTTGTCTCAAGAGCTGGAACAAGGTCTTATCAAAGTAGAGTCTTGTCTTTTAAAGTCAACGTAGTGTCTTTTAATTCTTAAAGTAGGCATCAAAATTGTCTTTCATTCTGAAGTAGGCTCTTAGAGCTGTTCTATATCTTTTTATATACACAAATCTTTGAAGTAAAGACTCAACATTTTTATTTTTAAGTAGTCTTTCAGCTTAATTTTGCTTTCTAAGTTGGCCTTACTTCCCAAGCTTTTTAAAAACATTTTCATCAACTTGAAATACAGAGTATCCCCTCTGTGAGTGCTTTTTTGATCCTACAATAACTGTTTTTTGCCCTGCCTTGAGCCTGGCCCTGCCTAGCCTCAAGGCTTAAGTTTTGGGGCCTATCCTGCTCAACCCTGAGAGTTTTTGAGAGGTATTGGGGTCTACCCGAGGCCGGGAAAAGTCCCGAGGCGCCTCCGTCACACTCATGGCCAGAAATCCGAGATTGATATATAGTTTAGTTAGCGTTGTATACAGTTATGCCAATATGTACATAAGCATTTTGAGAAAAACACCTAAAATTTTCACAAATTGAAGTCTAAAGATTCCAAGGTTCAATTTTAAGTGCTGTCATTGCATAAATTCGATAGAAACAAACTGAGGAGGGACTGGGCCTCAAACACCACGATTGTTCAAGACGACAAGTAAGGAAAAGAACAAACTCTCAACTTTATGCAATCGTTGACTCAAGGTTAAAATTGGTGCACGAGACGTGTGGCATGGAAAAACTTCACTTTTCTTATGTGTCCCCCCTTTTTGAAGATGTGAATGCCAACGGGACACCGCGGTTTGAGGGATACGTTCAAAATGAATTAGAGGAAACTCAATTCACACCCAAACTCACCTGCAGCCGCCCCCCGGATGCGCTCTGTTTACACCTACAAAATCTATCAGATCCATATTCCATGGAATGTATCTGGGTTCTAATCACGCAAGAATCTGATGATAATTCAATCGGTTCAGATTCCACTTAAATATGCTTCTCGCAAAACGATGTGATTGATATTGTGGTTCATCTATCTATGTACATACGCATCCTTTTCCACCGTCAACTTCACCCCTTGTCTGCTGCGGGTTGGTGATGGATCTTGCGTTTTCTGGCCCACATCGGGTTTCGGGATGAACGAGTTATGCGCTTGAGGAAAGGGTTAGAAGTTGAAAATAATCGAGATGTGAGGTGACACATCAACTGAAGGTGATGATGGTACATATAAATCGATGTGTTTTTGATTTATGTATTGGTGGTCTCCTTTTCAGTAGCCAATTCCAGCCAATTCCTCACATTTTTATATTGTACACTGCGATGGATCTCTGGACAGGATAACCGCGTGTTGAATCTACGGAATAGTGGGAGTTGAAGGAGATGTTTTGACTCAAAAGGTGTTCAGATCTTTGTTCTCATTCTATTACACCCCTGCACCTTTATAGACAGATCCCAAACGAGGGACCGAAGGAACTTTGCCACTCGAAAAGCCCCTGATGCAGCGCAAGGTCTTTGTTGCCGTATGGTTACAATTCAAGATAGTGAAGCGGTTGCAGATAGATCTCGATACGCAGGAGAGTGTACAAAATCCAATAGAATTATTCACGTTTTACAACACAAAGCTTGGCACCAATTTTGCGCCAAATTGTATACATTGCAAGTTTGACGTGACAACTAGGGCGAGCTTTCTGCAATCAGAATCCAGAGTTTTGGGTGTGTAAGCATAAGAGAAACTTAGATAATCTTGGGTCTCAATTTCATGGCTAAAGAGATGCAAAAAGCAAGGTTGAATGATCTGCGGATCAATGGATCAGAGGAGATGCTACCCTGTGCCATTCTGAATATCTGATTGTCAACATCTGATATTCATTAGAAGTTATGAATATATCTCGATGTCATTGGCATGTGCCACTGCTAGCCGGGCTCGACTGGCCGGCCGGCTTGTGCACTTTTCTCTACTTTTCTCTCCGTCATCAAATGTAATTGGTGTTACTGGCTTTTGGACCCACTTTGAAGTTTGGAATCAGTGGTGCTTCTCCGGTTCCCCACTTCTATTTCGCCTTTAATCCCAACTCAAGACACGGTTAGCTTTTCGGTTATACTACTACATATATACACATAGATCAGCTCCGTATTGACCCGCTTTCTGCCGTCAATTGGAATGTGCGTGTTTTACGTCCAGAATAATTTGCATGCAATATATTTATATTGTAATTCTACGCATCTCATCTTTGGCAATTCAGTTCCTCGCCTGCGGACCCATCGCGAGGTGAATCGTTACAAGCCTTATTCAAATCTGTTCTTTCTTCAGACAGGCTTTCGCGTAGGTCAAGGCAATCGGCAGCGCGAGCGTATCAAATCAATGGCTGATTATATCTGCAGATTGTTACAGGCTTGACTTCGGTGTCTTGCTCATCGATTAAGAGTTTGAACGAGAAGTGGTGACCGCCGTCGATCCCCTCCACAGTCAGTTGCCCCACCTCGAACACTTCGCACAGACATGGGCTTGTGTATCTAACCGGGATCCAAGGCCGGGTAGGATTTATACCACTCTAAAACGAGTCTGAATTCATTTTCTTATCTTTCTTCATCCTTCTTTTTCTTGACACATCCTCATAGTCTGCTTAAGCTGTCCATCGCCACATATACCAGACTGCATATACTTAGTAAAAGTTTCTGTCAACTTCCGTCTACATATCTGTTTATTTACCTCCACCCATCCCAGTCTATCATTCTACTTAACTCTCCGAGATCTCTGTCAGAGTTTGCACTCTCTCGACTGGGTCAAAACGACTGAGGGAACGACATCACTGAGGCTACCCGCTACTCTCAGCTCATCTTTTTTTAAATTCGACCCTACATATATCTCTGCGCCCACCCTTCCCTCGACAGGGGTTTCAGTTCTTCGCGTCTCATTGCGATCTCAGCGCGTCTCTAGTGAAGGTTAGAACACCTATTTACCAAGGGCTCGTCCTTCAGTTTGAACTTTTCAGCCACACAAGACTCGACATGATATCCGAAAAAGAACACGTTCGAGGCTGCCTCCCTCGATTCACACACACACGTCATACATTTTCGATACCAGCGGGGTCAGACGGGAAGGAGCGTATTGTGATGTGGGCTTTCATCCCCGACATACATAAACACACGCAACCTTCACCATCAATTGTCATGGCAAATGGTCTCGGTGAGTGTCTGATATTTAAAGCTCCAAAGAGCCCCAATCAATTTGCATCTTATAAAGACAACTTTGCAACCTCATCCTAACTGACTCGTCCGTGATGTTTGCACCGATTTTACTTAATAACCAAAAGCTTTACCTAGATCAGCTGGACTTCCTGTTAGTGCATCACGTATTATTTTATCAAATCTTAGAGGTTCACGCTGCCGTCCTTTCCGCTGATCCCGTGCTTGTTTTCGACTTCGAACACCATATCAGCATATCGCAGCATGCTTCGCCGCTGAGGGTTACAACGTTTTCCTGTGAGATATCTTTTAATCACTTCTCACTCCAATCATCGTTCTCGTCAAAATCAAGTAGAAGAGCTAATAGGGCTCTTGTTTTATGTTACGCTGATGGTACAGCTTTGACTTTCGTCACTTGGGTGACTCTACCGGTTCTCCTCGTCAAGTCGTTTCAGCGACCAAACAACAAGAGGACTACGTCAGCGTTCTCCAATATGTCAGCGACCCCAATCGACATCAGAATCTCTTCGGCCGACGTACATTAGATCCCAATCGCATAGTTCTATGGGGGTGGAGCAATTCTGGTGGACATGTATCGTATCTTGCGGGTCGAAGTGATATCCCAGCTATATCAGCCGTCATCGCCATCGATCCATTATGCGATGGAATAGGGAATTTTCTCTACCACCTTCGGAAGTCTCCAGGTGCTCTCATCAAGATCACGCATCGAATTTGGGGTGACCTATTCGCTTCTCTGATTCCTGGGGTCAGCGCTGTAGTGGTACCAGCGCTTGGACCTGGTGGGTTCTTGGGTTCTGAAGAGGCTGAACGAGGAGCACGACAGTTAACACCGATAGATGGACCTCCTTTCGTGAACCATGTCGCCGCTCGTTATGCGTTGGATGTGCTTTTCAATCGAGCCAGTGGCGCTTCAGTTCGATGTCCGATCATGGTATCTTGGGCTAGGGATGGAGGAGATGGGCTGATACCGAGTTATTTACCACAGAAGCTTGCAGAGGATGCTCGGGCAGCGGGTACACTTGTGGATGTCTATGAGCATATTGGAGATCATTTTGCCATTCACCCAGGTGGGTCTGCATTCGAGGAGACTACACTTCGTCAACTTCAATTCCTTGCTCGGACAGTAGGAACAATTTCGTGATACTACCTAGTCCTCGCTCTGTTTTGATATCGGCGATTTTATCTAATCTATATCATTTCGTGTTTATGTTTTATTGGTATTTTCAATTTGGAGAAAATCCGGATGGAAGTGATTCAAGCGTCTTAATTTTCAAGAATACATCTTTTGTTTGATCTTTGTTTCGTTCTTTTTGACTGGTAAATAGAATAACTTGTACGATTTTTTTTGTCATATACGAACTTCGGTGTAAGCTTTTTTGATTTGTTTAGATCAGATTAGGTGTGAAATGCGTCATCTCCTCGTTATTTTTTTACACTTATGTCTTAGATGGGTTGGCTTTCTTGAGATTCAAATCAATATTTTTGAGAATACATAATGATTTGTTGCGATTTTTTTGTATGTCTCAGATGGGCTCTACAAATAAATGCAGTTGTTCTAGATCTGACAAAGATTATATTTCCATATTGGCAAGCCTTTTGTATCAGAAAGATGTACACGGCTCACCTACAGGATTCCTTTCAGATGCACGCGAATGGAAGACTTTCTACCCTCGTTTTGTGTTTTCCATGGTCATTTGCCTGATTTTTGTATTTGTCCCACTCTTTAAATTGTTTGGACCTTGAAGTCCCCTCAACCTGCACATTGTTAGAGAACACTCCTTTATTTCATCAAACTTGGACTAACGAAGTCTCGGGTCTAGGGGTTGCGGTGGATAACCGCAACGCATGAAGTGTGCAAGTTCAGAGCTGCACACCTGCTCGTAGCAAAGGTCACGAATCTGTAAGGCAAAGAAAGTGAAATAAAATACCAAGCAGGCCTACAGGATCATCACTACTTCGTGCATCATAAAGTCACAGCAAAGAACAATGATGTATCAGATATAATCAATATGTACCAGAGTCTTCGTGTTCCTCATCATCACGCTGAAATTTGAATCGAAGTAAGAAGGATGTTTTTGCATAAACAAGAAATTATATCAAGACTAGCATAAAATCATCGTGCATTGAATTTGTATATTAGGGGGGCTCAAGTCAAAATTTTTTACTACTTTCATCGTAAAAAACTTTTCCCAAATTCATAAAATTTACGCAAAATTTTATGAAATTGGGAAATGTTATACGATATCCCAAATTTTTTTAAGCAGCAAATTTGCGTAAATTTGCTGCTCAGAAGGAGATCCGAAAGAAAAAAAAATTGGTCCTTTTTACGAATTGGGAGAAGTTTTTACGGTACCGTACCGTAAAAAACTTTCCCCATTTTTTACGAAAAGGTCGCAAAGATTTTGACTTGAGCCCCCTTATTACATATTGTCTATTTAGCGGTTCTGTTTGGCTGTATTTTGTTGCGGATCAGCTTACGTAGGTTTGATGAGGTTTCAAAGATGCAGAATAGTATGCTACTATGCAATTTTATTCTCATCTTTGCGGATACATTCTCTCTTTCTGCTAGTCTATGTTCAGCCGAGGTTGCTTTTGGTCTGCGCAAGCTGAGAACGCCTAGTTACGGCATCTTCCGGGCTATGGGGTTGCGCCCTTGACAAAAAGTCAGGCCGAGACACTTGTACAGATTTCAAGGCTCAACGAAATTCCAAGTAGAAAGACCACTACCGAGATTTCCCCTGAGGGCAATTGAGCGCGAGACAGTTTGAGAGCAAAGCCATCAACAATCGTTGTGCAATCAAGGCAGAATCCGCAGCACATTGGCCATGCTCTCATGGTCATTAAAGCTATGCAGTTATCTGTCAAATTTGTATACCGCTCAACAACTTAGTTGGCACTTCAACGATACAAAATCTTTATCTTGCAAAGAGTAAAATTAGGAAAGAGATCTAGATAGCCATCATTGATTATTTGTCCGCAAACACCAGTAAAAACAAAGGATGATAACTAAGGCTGAAACACTCCGCAAGAGCAAAATAATAAATAACTCAGTGAACAAATCAACAAATCCGACTATTCGACCTCAAGTTACATAATCGGCGTGCCTCCAAAATCCAGCTTTGAATCACGCTTCGTAAGTAGTTATGCGGTGATGAACCAATTGTATCAGATAGTAAGGAATCTAAGAACTTCCCAGCTATTAATACTCTGTAAATGTCTTCGATAAGCCCTTCCCAAAGCAGCTGCGACCAAGACAGCGGATTGTCCCTGGGGAGTTGATCACGTCGGAACGGTAGAAGCTGACTGCGTAGAACTTGAATGACTTTGCGTATGGGGACGCTAAATTGAGAACTGTGAGGTTCTGGCGGTTGTACTGATGGCGCAGTCGATCTCGGGTGGGTGGACACAGGGGCCCACTGTGAGGAGGATACCATTTTAGGAGCGGGCCGGCACTCGAGGGAGGTAGTCGACCGTGAATCCTCCTCTAGTACAAAATGCCGGCGAAACAAATTACAGCAGCCGTCGTTCCAGCATTCATCGATGATCACTAGGCAATCCGAGGCCGTCCATTCAGCAGCATTGTGGGGGTTCCGATCGATAGTATACAGCTGACGACGGTTAAGAGCACTGGTGCACATTTGGTATACGTCAGATAACGATCCAAGGGTTTCAAACGCCGATATATGTTCAAAAAGAGGTCTGCGAAGTAAGGAGGCTACAGCCTGCAAGAGGTATTGATGAAATTCGAGAAGGTCTGGAAAGGTTAAAGCTGATGAAAGCATCAGGGTGTCCCAATGAACAACTGGAAACATTGGTGGTGGTGGCTCATCGACCATCATTACATCTGCTTCGAAGTCATCGTATCCTCCATTCTGGACTGCTAATTGCGAAGATGGACACATGACCACATCCGACTCGCACTTTAATACTTTGGGGTCGGTCAATACATGGCTTTCCCGCTGTTTTGTTGGCACAGGCCTCATATAAATGTTGAACATGGTCATCCGAGTGAGCGAGATCGAAGTTATTAGCTGATCAATATGCTCCGCAATGAATGGATCTAAAATCCTTAATAGACTTTGGCAAGTGAGTCCTGGTTGTACTCGCAATGTCTGAATCCCTGAAAGAGTAATGCTAGTCAGCGACCTAGTTGCGTCAGGATATCGACGAAGCAACTTACCTTCCAACCCTGCTTCCAAAGACAGTGCTTTGTCATTTGTCAACAATAGGACATCACCACCGGAGGGCGTCAACTGGCGTTTGAAATAGATAGCGCAGTCTAAGATGTAAGCGTCTGGAGACTAAGACTTGGATTGACCAACAGTTACAAGGTAAACAAGCCGATCGGGCGGATCAACTTAAGACACTAGAGCAGAATGATCTTGAATGCTATGAATTAGCTCGATACGCACCACCATTTCGTTAGTCTTACCAAATGCTTGAGCTAGGGTAATATCAGAAACTTCATCCTTGGTTTGAAATCTCAGGACACGGTGCTCAAAGGGTGTGTCCTGGTACATTCGGGTCATCCAATTCACTGCATGATCTGCAGCTTGAGCCAAACTGATCCGCACTGCTTCTACTTCGTTCAACGGGTCACAATATCTCGCCTTTCGAACATCTGGACTGTGTATCGAGAGATTTTGTAAGGTAGGACCACTAGGGCAAGGCTCAATCATCGCTGTGACCATCCTATTCTTGTTTTGAGGCCTTTTATGTTTATCAACTCTGTTTCCACCAGTCATGTCAAAAACATACATCAATATCACAAAAAGCCTCTCAATATGGAAGGAGCTGCTTACTCGGTTCGCACCATCTTGGGAATCAAGAGTCCACATCTGGCACCGTTTCCTATCCGTGATTGACGAGCTGCTACCATTAAATCACCCACCCATTCCAACAAACTAAGATGACCGATAAGAATGTTGGTATCGATGATAGCCACTATTCCAGAAGGTTCAACCTTATTCCAATCTGAAAACTCTTGTTCAAACACGTCCTCCATATCTACTTCTTCGATCTCATCCTTTACTTCTTCTCGAAGTTGTCGTAATGATCCAGCAAGTTGTTCGACAGTCGATGCAATCGGGACCATGATTACATCTCCAGTTTCGTCGGCTTGGTAATTAGAAAAATTCGTTTGAGTTGAAAAGGCCATTAGAAGTTGGGATGAAAAGATAATTGAGCAGTAAAGTAAAGAGCGAAGGAAGGCAGTGAGCGCAGACGCCTGCAAACAAAAATAAACAGGAAATCCCACATGTATCTTTTGATCACGTGCGCACTAAATATATTTTGAGATCACCACCGGATCGAGAACTGACCGGATCGGTGCCCGATCACACCAAACTTGATGGCTGCCGCAAATTCCGAAATGACATCCTCTGATCAGCAGATCTTGCGAATTGAGCAGTCTTGGGACCACGAACAGCACTGCCATAGAACGAGAGTGTAAGCTCATAGGAATCACATCCACGGCCATCCTCATCTCTTGTAGCATCATTGAGAGAATTATAACCAATGATTAAAGAGGACGCTATTTTGATGGATCAAGTGGGCCACGTGTATTGATGCGAGAAAGGCCGAGAAATATGGATTGTATTGCCGATTGAATTTCCAGAGATGATAACATAGGTTTGCTTGTGAAATAGTCTGTTAAGCCTGGTTGATCTCGTTACAGTCAACTCTCTCTAATGGCATACAGTTTGGCGGGCAGTTTTCTTATGCATTTAGAGGAATATGCCTTTACAAATCTTGTTTTGGCTGGCAAATCAAACTTAACATAAGTCCCAACCTGCACCTAACCACCAACTCCAGGGAGGGACTTACGCCCTATCGCTGAAAATCGGCGTGAGATCGGTCGGGGTATTTCCCCAAAACCTCTGGTCTCACATGCTTGCCAATCCCCCTTATGAAACCTCAAAGAGCTCTATATGAATTACCCGCGCACGCCCTAGAGCTACAAATCTGCGCTCTCGGCATCTCACGAATTTAAAAACTGAAGAAGTTCTCGTAAAAATAACGTTTGGGGCAAAAGCCTGTAGCAGGGATACATGGTATCCCGGTACAGTCGACCCATTCGGGTCGGGCTAAAACCTTTTAGCCGTACAGAACAGACTAAAGGTAACAAAGAGATAAAGACGTGCTGAGCTAAAGAGGTGGACGCCCTCCACAAATGCTCAGCACTTCAGCTACATCGCTCAAAGGAGCAATGTCTACCAATGACTCAATAACCTCACCTCACGAAAGGTGATACAAAGAAGTCAAAAGAGAGACTCTCTCTTATCTCGAGAGAGTCACTCTCCAATCAGTTGAGTCCCACTTATTGGCTCTTGAGAACCACAAGTTCGCCTTCCTGCTCCATTTTGTATAAATAGAGCCCCAATTCCCCTATTGCAATAAATACCCAGTTCATATAAGCAAGAATTGCTCTCTTCTGGAAACCGTGACTTTTGCCTAATTGCCTTCCATTCTGATCCTTATCACAACTGTCGACAATCTATTCATAAGCACTTGATTCCTACTTTTATCCCGTAAGGTTATCACCCCCTAAGTCACTTAACCGTTCCTGTCCTAACCTTAGTTCTGGTCCTGTTACACTGGTAGCGAGAGAAGACGTATCTTTCTCGAAATTTTTTTTCTTTTCTTATCATAAGACCCCTTGCGCGGATCAAATCATCGTTTTACTCTCTTCTATATCCTGATCTATTAAAAAGTTAGTAATTACTTCGATTTCTATGGTCTTTTAGAAAAACCCCTATTTTTTTCGTTAAAATCATACTCCGACAACCTCGGGATTAACTCAGCTCAGCAGAGGAACTGATCAATAGTGATCCTTTTTTCGTTATTCTCTTCCGAACTCACAGATGGCATTGACCAAAGCTCAGGCTAAGGCCATTGTGGCCAAGTTGAACGCTCCCGCCGATGGCACGGCGATCTACTCCCCTCAGGAGTTGTTCGCTATGACGGCGGAACAACGCGAAGCGTTGCGAGTCACTGGCACTCAGGAAGTCGCCGAGGAAACGCTGAAGACCGTCGACGACGATACGGCGATGACCTCGGGCGACAAAGCTCCAGCTGAGACGGACTCTACCACGGCACCGATCACTCAAGATCAATACCGACAATGGCAAGAGTGGATGCTTCGCGAGGAAGCCCGTAAGTCTCAAATAGAAAGTAAGTCGGATTCCCTTTCCTCCTCCTCAGGGAATTTCGTCTCGGCATCGGAATTCGGTTCTGACAACACCATTACCGCAGCAGACAGGATGGCTGCGGTTGCCATCAGCGATGTTAAGCCAGATGTCAAACCTGTCCTCGACCCAGACGAGGTCGGATTAAGTAAGTATGAAATCTTGAATCGATTACATTTTAAGAGAAAAGCTGATACATCGGTATTGGTAGCCCCAGGTAACCCGTTCATTATTTCCGACGGTCCTGAAGTACTCGAAAAGGACGCCTCGAAGGCTCAGAAGTCGATGTTGAACGCCGGTCTGTCCAAGTTCGATGGGTCGGTCTCAAACGACTTTGTCATTTGGGCTTCCAAGTTCGAACGCGCTGCGACGTTGCGTTTTCTGGACCGCTCCCTCTTTCATCGTCTTGCCCTTCTTCTCTTCTCGGGCAGCGCTATGACTAAGCTAGAGATTGCTATGGCTGCCCCTGATCGTCCCACCTCTTGGGAGACCTTCGTTGAATGGGGAAAAACGAAATTCAAGTCTAGCACCACCGTCACCTCGGTGAAGCAGCAGCTCAAGGAGTTGCGCCAACGTCCTAACGAGACCGTCAGCGATTTCTATGACCGCTGGTGTATCTTCGAACAGGACGCTAAGGTCGTCAATCTAAAGTATGAACAAGTTCACGACTTTGTAGAGCGACTTCAACCAGGTGTTCAAAAGTACATCCAGGAATTGATTGATGAGGCCCATAACATGGGAAATCCTTTGACTTTCGATAAAGTGGCTCTGATGGCTATGTCCAAGGACAAGCGTTACCGTGCTGGGAAGGAAACGGTCACTATTTCTTTAGTTGCTGAATCCTCTACTAGTGCATCTAAGAAACGCAAACCGAACACCAACAGGAAGGAAGATCGTAAATGCTTCAATTGTAACGCTACTGGTCATATTTTCGGGTCTTTAGCTAATCCTACTTGTCCTCAACCTGTTACTGATCAGACTAAGCGCTATTTCGAGGCCAAGAAGAAAGAAGAGACTTTAAAAGCTTAGGCGATGAAGATCAAACTCAATTGTCATCGCCTTGTTGTCTAGTTGATCATAATGAAAAACCTATTTCTTTTGTGTCTGCTATTCCTTTTGAGTCCCCCAGTGAGCCATCTCGAGAGTTGCCTGATGAGCTTTCTATCAAATTGCCCCTGCCCCGTTCAAACGGGTTCTCCCCTGAACACTCTGACCAGGGGCCCATTCAAGAAAAGGGCAAGCCCTTTTGTCAGCTGAGTCCAAGGAGCACTTTAGACTCCAACTCCCTGAGTGCCTGTGTGAGCACTTTGAGCTTGAGAGATTCAGACCCCTCGAGCTCACTCGACGTCTCAAGTGTCGAAAACCCTAAGATAAGAGGGACAAATCCTCGTCCTAAGCCTAAAATAGAGGCGGATCTGTCCCAACTGAGTCTCAACGATGCGAGACCTCCCTCTAGTGAGGACCGACATCCAACAGCCAGTCCTGAGCGGACTTTCCCACCGGCCAGTGGGCCCTTATTAGTTCCGGTTGGAGTCTCCGATGTTAGCTGCATCGAAGATTTGTTGTCGTTAGAAGCCAACTCGGCAGGACACCGAGTCAACTTTCTATCCGTCGTTAACGGACGGATAGCAAGCTTTCTGTTAGATACGGGAGGGAGGGATAGGTACGTCTCCAGCTCTTTCGTCAAGAAGCACGGACTTGCCACATCAACAAGTCCGTTTCCAGTGATGGTAAAAGGGGCCTTTGGCCATACCATCAGGTGCGATAAGTTATGCACATTGGATTTCAACTTGGCAGGCCTACATTACAGTATTGCCTGCCGAGTAGTCCCCCTGGCCAGTTTCGACATAATCCTAGGAATGACGTGGATAAACGAATTTGTCCAAGAGACAAACTGGAAGATAGGTGCCTGGCAAATCGTCGATGGCAAAGGAGGCTCGGCAAAGTTTTTTCCGGAAAAGCTAGCAGCGCCAACGCAGACCGTTCACTGTTTGGACAACATCAACGAAGTCAGTGACGACGTTACTGAGCTATCGCGATCTGGTTTCCGCCGGTTCTGTCGGCAGAAAGACGTCGATATCGTGTTGATGCAGCCCATGGACGCTGTGGAAGAAGTAAACGAGGTCGAAGGACCTCGTGAGGATGTCCCGGCTGCCTTGCCAACGATATCGCCGGCGAACAAGGCCCTGCAGGGCCGGATAAGAAAGCTTATCGATAAATTTAAAGACCGATTCACAGAGGTCAGCACCGTACCTAAAGTGGAACGAGTGATTGACCACCTCATCGACACGGGGGACAAAGGTCCCGTTTCTCAGCCCGTTCGCCGGATGTCACCACTTCTGTTGGATGAACTTCGTGTGAAACTCGCTGAGTTGCTCGAAAAGGGAATGATTCGGCCGTCCACCTCCGCGTGGTCGTCCCCAGTACTGTTCGCTAAGAACGCCAGTGGTAAACTACGGTTCTGCGTTGATTACCGGGCAGTTAATGAACTTACTAAGCGAGACCGCCACCCGCTACCGCTGGTCCAAGACTGTTTTGACCAGTTGGGAGGCGCGGTTTACTTCTCGAAGTTTGACCTCCAGCAGGGTTTTCATCAAATGAAAATTGCATTGCAGGATGTCGCAAAAACTGCCTTTGGTACTCGGTATGGGCACTACGAATGGTTGGTGATGCCTTTCGGGCTAGTAAACGCCCCGAGTACCTTCCAAAGGATGATGAACGATGTCCTCAGGGAATACTTAGATGATTTCGTTCAAGTTTACTTGGATGACATTTTGGTATATTCCAAGACAGAAGAGGAGCACTTCGAACACATAACAAAGGTGTTCCTTGCGCTCGAAAAAGCTGAGCTTAAAATTTCAGGCAAGAAATCTCTGATGTTTGCCGAAGAAATACAGTTTGTCGGCCATATCATTTCGCATAATAAAGTACAAATGATGCCTGAGAAAGTGAAGGCTATCCAAGAATGGCCGAGGCCCGGAAACGTCTACGACGTCCGAGCGTTTCTCGGCCTGGCCGGATACTACAGGAGGTTCATAAAGAACTTTGCAAAGATTGCAAGTCCCTTACACGGCTTAACAGCTGGAGTAACAAAGAAGAAACAAACAGTAGAGTGGAGTGCTGCTCACGAGGTTGCTTTTTGCAATCTAAAAGCAGCATTGCAAGAGGCACCGGTGCTGATTACCCCCGATCCTAGCAAACCGTTTATCATTGAAACGGATGCTAGTGATCACGCTGTGGGGGCAGTTCTGTTGCAAAAGGACGAGCAGGGTGTTGAGCACCCGGTGGCTTTCGAGTCAGGCAAGCTTAACCCGGCGCAACAGAACTATCCTGCCCAGGAGAAAGAACTCCTGGGTATATTACACGCGTGGCGCAAATGGCGCGTCTACGTCGAAGGGGCAGTAAGTGATACTATAGTACGCACAGATCATGCGTCTCTTACGTACCTACAGCAGCAAGTCCTGCCTTCCAGACGGCTTCATCGCTGGATTGACGAATTTGCGGAAATGACAGTTAAAGTCGAATACAAGAAGGGGTCGGCTAATGTGGTACCTGACGCCTTGAGTAGGCGAGCGGACCTCATGATGATACATGAGGTCAAAAACGGCTTGCGGGACGCCAGTGACTGGCCGCTCCTGGTTCCATATATCTTGGACCAACGGGAGATACCGGACAGTATCGAAGCTGCAAGCTTTAAGACGGCAGTTATGCTTTCTGCTAAGTTTGTTTACGACAAGAAATCGGAAACATTGAGTTGGAAGGAGGATGACTCCCCATTCATCCCGTTCGACTTACGACCAGATTTACTCGAGTCGGTTCACCGCCAATCGGGCCACAGAGGCCGAGATGGTACCCTAGCCTTCTTGAGGGGCAGAGGATGGTGGCCGAATCGCTATAAGGATGTCGAAGAATTTTGCAAACACTGTTCGCAGTGCCAAATCTTCGAGAGACCTAAAGCAAACTTGGAAACAGGAGAACAAGTCCCATTGCCCCAAGTGGAGCCGTTTGAGAGATGGGCAGCAGATTTTGTCCAGCTACCGGAATCGAAAGACGGCTACAAGTGGGTGCTGACTATTATTGACCACTGTACCGGTTGGCCAATAGCAGTACCCATGAAAGAAGCCACGTCCGCGAACGTGGCGGAAGCATTCCTGAGGGAAGTCTTCCAACAGTTCGGTGTACCATCCGAAATTTTGACAGACCGTGGTCAAAATTTTTTGTCAAAAGATATGTTACGCTTTTATAAAGCGGCGCACGTTAGAAAGCTGACGACATCGGGGTACCACCCTCGTACAAATGGTAAGAACGAGCGTTTGAATGGTATCCTAGAAAGTACGTTGTTCAAATTGAATACTACAGGGGACCCTTCTCGTTGGCCAGAATTCCTGGCTCCGGCTGTCTTTGCGGTGCGAGTAAATCAAAGTACGGTGACCGGTTGGTCACCATTCGAATTGCTCTATGGAGTGAAACCTAGGTTACTCGCAGATCGAGCAAAAATTCGCCCTCTCAAGATTGAGACTGAGGAACAGGCAAAGGCGCGACAAGCACGCCTGGAGAAACTCAAACAAGGTCGAGCTGAAGCTCGACAACTGCAAGAGGCACGAGCGGCAAAGAATAAAGCTCGGTTTGATAAAAACCTCGAAGAACGAGGCACAGTCCAATCCTATCATATAGGCGAAACGGTGAAGCTCCGGAACGAGACTCGGACAAAAGGTCAGCCTAATTGGCATGGACCCTTCGAGGTTTTCGACGCCTTAGGAAACAATGTATACCGATTGGTAGACCCAACGGGTTCAGAATTCCCTCATCCAATAAATGGGAACCGCCTTCAGCCTGCAAAGACTAAAGACGGGTCGTTGATTAGTACATGGGCTTTGCCTGCACGGCTACAGCCCGCATCCGCATCTGCCGGGAAGATCGACAAGGGCTTGAACTCTAAAGTCAAAGAATTAACGCAGGCACAGAAGGACGCGTTAAAAATAAAGATAAAAATCCCCAAGTTGGCGACAAGTGGAGTGATCGCCAGCTAAAGGGGGGATAGTTGTAGCAGGGATACATGGTATCCCGGTACAGTCGACCCATTCGGGTCGGGCTAAAACCTTTTAGCCGTACAGAACAGACTAAAGGTAACAAAGAGATAAAGACGTGCTGAGCTAAAGAGGTGGACGCCCTCCACAAATGCTCAGCACTTCAGCTACATCGCTCAAAGGAGCAATGTCTACCAATGACTCAATAACCTCACCTCACGAAAGGTGATACAAAGAAGTCAAAAGAGAGACTCTCTCTTATCTCGAGAGAGTCACTCTCCAATCAGTTGAGTCCCACTTATTGGCTCTTGAGAACCACAAGTTCGCCTTCCTGCTCCATTTTGTATAAATAGAGCCCCAATTCCCCTATTGCAATAAATACCCAGTTCATATAAGCAAGAATTGCTCTCTTCTGGAAACCGTGACTTTTGCCTAATTGCCTTCCATTCTGATCCTTATCACAACTGTCGACAATCTATTCATAAGCACTTGATTCCTACTTTTATCCCGTAAGGTTATCACCCCCTAAGTCACTTAACCGTTCCTGTCCTAACCTTAGTTCTGGTCCTGTTACACCTCAGAGAGCCACGTATGGGACTTTCTGGAGCTAGGTGAGTCTTTCTATCCCATTTCTCTCTTTCTTTGTATTCTTCTAGATTAGAGTTACTGACTCCTCAGGGAGCCACGTATGGGACTTTCTGGAGCTAGGTCGCAATAGAAACCGAAGTTCTAAGTTAGTGCTCTCTCGAGAGAAGTCAAGCCGGACAAGAATCCGGACCCTCAGTGAAGGTTCTGATAGAACCTTACACTTTTTTTAACTTATCACTTCGATAAACAAAACCAAAACACCTTATCCAACATTTTTTTCTCTCTATCATTTCACGTACTTCTGTCACTCTGCCTTTTCTGTCATCTGTCAATCTGTTCATCTGCTTCTGGTTCAGTTCTGTCAACCCAACCTTGTCGATCCCCACCCCCCGGACAATCTCTCACGATTAAAGCCAGTCGAATGAGTGGTACGACTTCGTTGAAGCCAGACAACTTTCTCGACGACCCCGATATTCTGCTACGAAGGGCCCAAAAAGACAAACAGAAGGAAAGTGTTGAGTCTCCGCCAGCACCCCCTCCAGCCAATTTCCATTGGAAGCCGGAGACATCGGTTC